GTGTGCAGGGTGCCCTTGTCAACATCTTTCTTCACTCTCTGTGGAGAAGAGAAGGGTGAGCACGCAACGGGAAAGGTGTTATGATGAGCCAGAGTACTGGGACCTTACTTTCCATGGCCTTAAGCTTAGCCAAGTCAGCGGTGCTTCACAGCCACCTTGCACAGCTGTGACGGGGCCAAACAGGACTGGTATGTGTGACCCCCAACCTCCAACTACCTCCCGCAGTGAGTCCGTTTCCTCCGTCCCCGAGGGCAGAGCTGCCAGGTGAGGCCGAGACACCTCGAAGGAAGGCATTTGTAAGTGCTAGTGATAACTGTGGCATGTCGAGCAGGAAGGAGAGTGGAGCTGGGGGACCTGAGCTCTACTCCCTGCTCTGCCACAGATAAAACTGGGGGATCCTGGGAGGGGAAAAAAAATAAAAAAAATCACTTACTTTTCGTGCCCTAGTTTCCTCATCTGTGAAAATAGGTAGGAGATGCATTGAATTCACTAGTGGACACCCTAAACTTTGGGATTCAAGTCACCACAAGCTCAGGGAATTATTCTTGTGTAGCTCAAAGCATCCGACTTCCACTCTCCCCTCCCCAGCCCCATTCATATGCAGCCCCCCTATTGCCACGGGGGCCTTGAGCTCTCTCACCGAGCACGATCAGCCTTTTCCACGCTGCGCCTGGGGGATGCCTGGTGCCCCAGGTGCTCAAACCCAAGAGGAGCCTGGAGCATCGAGCTTTCCTTGATAGCCTTTTCCACACTTTTTTTGGTATTTCTGTCTTTTCCGGACAGAATAAGACCGGGAGGGGGCCAGGTCCTGCTGAACACGATGGCAAACCCCCCCCTGGACTATATGGGAGCAGGATCAAGCTTCAGCGGATGTAATGAAATGCATGGTTTTAAATGCCGCTCTTCTCCGCCACCCCCGTTGTCTTTCCCGGTGAGTTCCTGTACTCCAGTGCTCCTGGCAACACACATTGTCTGAAGGCAGCAGCAAAGCCGTAGGAGGTCCCCTAATAATGTCATTATCCACCCCTCCTTCCCTCTGCTGCCATCCTGCATGCACTCACCCCACTCCCAGCAGGAGCCCTGGTATTCAGCACACTGTGCATAGCACAGCCCCTTGCAAACAGGCTCCAGTGAGAAGCAAGCTCCCGCTAGGGTCATCCCATCCAAAGTTCAGGAGCACTCAAGGCCAGCGTGGCGGGTTGGGCTCATGTCCGAGACTATCCCCAACAGGAGCCAGCTCTGCTCCGGATTATGCTATGCACAGACACCCAGCGAAATGCCTCCCCTGCAGCGACACAAGTACAATACCGATGCATTCGGTATATGGCAGGCTGTAGCACTGGAGGACTTAGGGATGAACTACCGGCAAAGTAAAAGTGGGAGAGGAGAGGGAGGTGGCACTTTCAGCTGAGCTCTCTCCTCAGGCCCCTACCTGAATTGCTGCACAATACCAAGCCGGCTCCCACAGACAGATATTTCATCCTTTGCACACACACCGCTGCTTACACGACG